CTCTGTTTGAACTTTTTTTTTCTCACTTGTCCTCTAAGACTTATTTTTTACTAATATTAGTCTATGGGCATCGTTGGTCTGATATATTTTTCATTGACATTTCACATGCACTATACCATTTTACATATCTTCTCCTTTATCTGGGTCTTTCTTTCCCAAAAATTTGGTGGCACGTGAGGTAAATTCTTCCTTCTCAACAATTTCCCTTCCTTCCACCTACCAACTTTATTCCCATTCAGATCCAGATAGACTTCTATGTCCCATATGTGCTCTTCATGGCTTCTTTCTGTGGTTCCTGTTCTCGCCTTTTGATCCCCTGGCAATGTTCCTCTGTTCGTGACCTTTTTCCTTCCATCCTTACCAATTGGGTTCGGCTTTTGTGTTGATTGGCTTATTCATCCTTAAATCTGTTCCAGGTGTCTTTCCATCAGATCAGGCACCTTACCTTTACCCTGGAATTTCACCTCCATAGTCGTCCGTTGGATGAAATTCTTCAGTTGGGCATGTTGGCTACACCTCATATGTTCGTCACCCACTATCTTCATTGGTTGGCTATTTCTTCTTTGTCAGGAAACCATCTTCCACCTGTCACCATCCATCAATCTCTGGTGAGGCTGTGAGTGGGTAAGTTATCTTTTTTCTATACATTTTAATTTCTTTCAGTGGCATGCCCTTTTTTTCCTTTAAGGATCCAGCTCTGCAGTGAGTGTAGTCTGTCCAAGTATGTTTAATATATCTTAAATCTGCACTGTACAGCCATAATGAAATCATTAAATACAATATACCCATAGCCTTTAATACATACTGTTGAGATGGGGTGTTCCACAATATTGCTAGTAGGTTTTTTTCCTTGCAATATATTTTCTTTATTAATATGCCCATTCTGAACTGTACTAACCCATGGGCTTAATTGAATAAATCAAGGGTGGTCTGTTTATCAAAATATGGTTTTTGTGGTCACCCATTGCACTGTATCCATTATATTGGCATCCTAGTGAACTCTGGGAGTCCTTGCCATTTTCCAGTTCCGAGCCGCTGGGGTGATGGACCATGGAGGTAGCCTCCTAAATGTGATCATACAGTAATAAACAAAAACTAAATTATCCATTTAGTAGAGAGTAGGGTGGTGGTGGTGTTCTGCTGTGTAGATGGTTTTTGGTCCTCCAGTTGTTTGCTCCATCTCTGTATGATGGGCTCTGAGGGTTGATATTGCACCCAGCTTCTGTGCAGTTTTATCTGGAGGGTGTGGTTGTACATAATTGGTTGAGGAAATCCCGTTCCATGCAGTGGGACTTGGAAGTTTGCAATGAGCTCCAATTCTGTACGGTCTATCCGAGGGGTGATGTTGCACATTTCTACTAATAAATATGCAATGGTTGTAGAGAAGAAGATAATGATACTGCTAAATATACAAGAGATATTCATGATGTGGTATAGAAGTAAGCTAATGCATTGCACCATTTGCTGTACTAATGGAAATGATGCATGGAACACACTTTCTGCCAACAAAGCAGACTACATTTGCTTGAACATTTATCTATCCTTGTAATGGTGTTGTATGACTGCCATTTAGAATTGTAGACACTTGACTATTCACCTTCTATCTTTAATGATTATTGTCAAGAGAAACAACTGTTTAATCAGTGTTTGAACCATTGGAGCATGCTAACAGTTGTAATTCAACACAGACATAATTTCAGCATACTGCTCAAACAGTTCGTTGCTGAGTTTGTGGGAATTAAGTGGCTTACTGTATCACACAGATGCAGGTGACGTGTTTGATAAAATGCATCTACACAAGCTTCATCATAGCACAAGAGATAATGGTAGTGCTGAAGTCAAGTAGATGTTCTGGAGTAGGATAATACAGTTTTCAGAGAGTACTTATTCATCTTCAGCGGTGATTATCAGAAAGGGAGAATGCCAAGGGGCTGTGTGGAATTTCAGTGAGTGAATGACTAACACATTATGGTTTCTTTCTTCTAGTGCATAAGGATAAATGCCTTGATTCATTGGAAAATCCCTATTGATTCAATACACTAGATCTGGCTTTACGTTACAGAGATAGCAGACTGAACAATGAAAGTAGTGTCAAGACCATTTTAAGCACTTGTATTGGACGGTACGAATTCTGCTTCATGTCATTCTTTCTCTGGAATGCATTTGATACTGTTGAGAATCTGATGGAGCATAGACTCAGACATATGCAGTTGGAAAGATGTTTTCTTCTATATGGATGGCATAATACTTTTTGACTGCCATTTCATTTCACAGCTGAGAATGGTCTGCAAGCAAATCATTGATGTAAATTTGAAACTTAAACCATAAAGTAGTTTCTCAATCATGTGTCTTCAGATCCTGAGAAGATTTTAGTGGTCAAGGACTTTCCATACTTGAGTTTAAACAAGAAGTATGCAGGTTTCCCTGTTTCACATAATAATATCGATGCTTTGTAACCAATTTTCCCAAGATAACTGCACTGCTATATAAAGTAACTACGATTGACATGCATTTTGTGTGGAAGCAGGATGTGAACATGCGTTTCAGTTCTTGAAGAGTGTATGACAGATTATCGGTGCTAGCTTATATTCATAGTTATATTCATCAAACATTATAACACTAGTTGTATAGTATGTAGTTTACTGAAATGAATGATGAGCCTTAAAACACAAAAGGTATCTTTTCATGTTAGTTAAGAGTGCAGGATAACATGTATTATCATTATGAACTACTAAGACATGGTAGCTAATCGGCAGCTAAGTTAGTTCCTAGAGCTCTAAGCCAGTAAATACTTCAGACTTTGCATAATACAAAGACTATAACACAAGGGTGTGTCATGTATTATTGCAAGTGTGTGAAAGAGGTTTTACTAGCTGCATTTGAGCAAAACCATTGGAAAATGGCATGGATACCGGTCCATGTGCGATGCCAAAGAAAAACTGAACAAATAAGGGAAATCTTTGGCACAAGTTTATAGGTTCTTCCCTTCAGAGCATTGCTCCAAAGATAGCTGATCCCCAGCCTAAAACTGAGACAGGTAATTAGTATGCACTGGCTGTCATTAATTGTTTCACCAAAGGGCTGGAGCTTATCTCCATTGGTCAATACATAAGAGCAATTCATTGCATATGTGGTCGCTGAATATTGGATACCACAATTTGGAACTTGAAAATGTCCACACACAGATGAAAACACCACCTAGCTAGTTATTTTTGGAGTTATGTCAAGTATTGGGTATGATGAATATATGCACTTAACCATATTCTCATTCTGATGATGATTTGGCTCAATGGGCAATGTAGATTGTCAGTGTATGTTTATAAATCTTGAGAACCCTGGCTATACTGAAGGAATTAGCAACTACCATACATTATGATGGCACGTTGTGCAAATGTGCAACTGTTTTGTGAATTTTCTGGTGTTTGGATGAAAAATACAGCTCTAGATGTGTATACCTCTACCCAGCACAAATGTACAACAATGTCCATAGGAACATATAGAGTAGCTGCACTCTGCAGTAGTTGATGCAAATGAATTTGTGCATTAGTAAATAGGTAAAACAGTTATTCATCAAAAGAAATGCTATGAAAAAACAGCAATGGGACTAAAGGTCTAGCATGGAGAATGAGATTATCTATGTTACACATCATTGGAATATAAAGAGTTTGGATCTGCTGATGTTGGGGGAACGTAGCTGTCAGTATATGTATGTGAAGAGTTGGATGAAGAAATTCCAGTAGAGTTTGATATAGTGATCAACTGAGATGACAATGTCGATATCTAATTGTCATAGTTTGATCAACTGCTTTACCTGCACCTTAGGATGGTCAGTTGGCTAAAAGACAGTTGGACTTGAGTGTTGATGATAACTAGAAACTCTGGCAAACTAGTATGACATAAGAATTTTCAGTCCTTGCTTTCCCAGCACCCAGGCTAGTTTTGTGGCAAATTTTGGTAGGCATTTGCTTGTAGAAACCTCATGGACAAATTTGTGACATAGCAT